CGTCGTAATAATAATAACAATAAAATACCCTAGGGTTTGTTTAAAAAAATATACGTAAAAATGATCATTATTATTATTATTATTATTATGTCGGAGAGAATCGAAGTGTAATTTTTTTTTTTTGTAGTTGTTGTACGACGTAAAAGAATTGTTTAAACAATTATACGAAAAAGGTTAAATAGAAAAAATTATCCTGAAAGGGAGGAAGGAGGGCGTCGTCGGCCTTGAGAAAGAATTTTGTGAATGAAACCACCTCATAGGTTCTTATATAAATTTCTTTTTTTTTTATTACCACAGACCTCGATCAACAACCCTTTATGACAGTAAATTACCCTTCCCAGATACATTTCTTCCTGTTAGCCGCAATTAAATAGATCAGCTGTTGGGGTGGAATTTATCTTTGTGTGAGAAAAAAAACAAATTCTTAACAGGTGAATCGGTGTGAACGACCTTTGTGTTATTATTTTTTTTTTTTTAAGGATTATTCGTGACCCACTTTTTTTTATCATCATCATCATCATCGTTGGAAAATTTAGTATAGAAGGAATCGTCGTAGAAAAAAAAAATGTGAATATGGAAAAAACTTACCCGCGATGGCCATCCATGGGTAAAATGTGTGATTGGCAGATTGTTGGTGCAATTGCGAGCCAACAGTTGATTGGGAACCCGATGAATTCAACGAACACTGGTTCCACGAACCCAATGATGTTGCCGAGGTTCTACCGCCACCGGTCGTCCCGGGACTCGAACCGGGATCTCCACCGACCAAACCTGTACCATACCCGAGCCGCGAATCCGGCGTACACGCCGCGGGACGAACGGGAGCAACGTTCGTACCGTTCACCGTCGCTCCCGACGCCGAAGACCAAACGTCTTTGGCCGCTGCCACGACGGCAGCGTAACCGTTTTGATGGCTTTCGTTGTTGTTACTTTTTGAGCAGTCTTTCGATGATGAATAATTTGAATTTTGTGTCGTGTCAGCTGCGGACGTATATAATTTACAAGCGGCCGCAACGCTCGCATCGTACGGCGAATCCTGCGGTGGTCTGTTCTGATGTAAAGAATGATGATGATGGTGTTGAGAACTTGCATAGGGTGACATACCCAAACCGAGTGGAAATCTATATGCTGCTGCTTGATCGTGATGCGTGCTACCGGTAGACGATTGATGATGATGCCCGGCATAAAAACCAGGTTGTTCAAAATACGAATTCATTTTTTTTTTTTTAAACAATTAAAATCCGTCTTCCTCTTTTTTTCAAGCCAACAAAAAAAAAACTTCCTTTGACAAAAATCTTTTTTTTTTTTTTTTTTAAAAAACCCAAAAAAACAAACCCGAAAAGAAAAAACTTTTACTATTACGTCATAGTTTCCTTATTGAAAAATAAATAAAAAAAAAAAAACTTTTTTTTCCTCCTTTTATGATTATTATTATTACTATTTAGGAAACATCATTTACTGACACATATCACATCGTAAAACGGTTTGAATATAATAAAAAAAAAAAAAAAAATTTTTTTTTTTTTTACGTTTTTTTTCCTTTTCCTTTTCTTTTTCCCTTTTCTTTTTTTTTTTTTACCGCCCCTTAATAAGTCATAATATTTTTACGACTATAATTAAAGTAAGTTTTTACGATTATTTAAACCCGTCAGGGGGACAAAAAAAAAAGAAAAAGTTAAAATAGCTCATTACATAAAAACAACTGCCGAAAACCGAGATCAAACGCAAACTGGGGTAGTTTTAACTCTTACACAGATAGTATACATGGAAGTGAAGCACACGCGCTCGAAAATTACAAACGTTTAAACAAAACATTATAACTCATGTTGAGATTATATGAAAATGTATTCTTTAATTTCATTTGATAACCGTTTTGAAACTGAGAAATGAAAAATGACCGCCATTCAACTATATAATATTATTACTCGCCTTAATCTTTTTACGATTCTCTCATCGTTAAAATCTTTAAAGATGTATAATTTTTTATTTTTATTATTTTTATTATTATTATTATTACCATTATTATTATTATTATTACTTTTTTTTTTAAATCCTTAAAAAAAAAACTCGAATTGAATCGAATATGAAAATCGAATCGAATCGAATTGAATTGATCGGTTTTTTTTTCTTATTGATCGTTTCGATTTTTTTTTTTTTTTTTTTGAATGAATGATTTATTTATTTTATTTATTTATTTTTTTTTTTATTTAGGTATAAAAGTCAAATTGGAGCGGGGGGCGGAAAAAAATGAATTCTAAATTTTGACAACGTATTTTTGAAATAATGAAAAAATAATAATGATGAAGAGAAAGAAAAAAGGCAGAAGATGGAAAAAGAAAAAAGATGGAAGAAGATGGAAAAAAGAAAATTTAAGATTTTTCAAATAGGAAAAAAATAAAAAATAAATAAAATAAGAAAAAAGTAAAATAAAAAATATTTTTAAATTGAAGATACTTTCTCATAATCTAAACATGGGTAAATATATTTTTTATTTTTTTAAAGATAATAAGAGACAGTTAAAAAAATGAGCCAATGAAAATGCGATTTTTTAAAGCCTTATAACAACTTTCATGATACCTGGGATGGCCTTCCGCGTGATAAATAAATCCATTATCCTTCCCATTTTCCCTTTTTTTTTTTATTTTATTTTCTAAATAATATCATTATTACGTTATTATTATTATTATTGTTATTATTAATAATTTTAAATTTTAATTTAAAAAAAAAAAAAAAAATTATTTACTTTACTCATACATATATTAGATGGCGTATTTTTATTTTTTTTACCGGTAATAAAAGATTTTATTACTTATTATCATTTTTTTTTCTTCTTATACGTAGAGTACGAAATTCATCATATCAATTAAAATTAAAAAATTAATCAAATAAAAAGAACTTGGTATTCATTATTTATCTTACGCAAAGCGTAATCATTTTTCGTTAAAAAAAATCATAAAAAACATTTTTCACCAATGACCGCGGTAATTTTAATTACTTCTATTATTAATGTTAATTTTAAAAATAAGTAAAAAATTTATTAAAATTACGAATAAAATATGTCGATTGACTGTGTAAATAAAAAAGAGAAAAATTTTTATTGTAAAATCATTTTTTAGAAAAAAATAAAATAATAATAATAATAAAATCGGGTTCAATTTGAAAACTTTTCACCGCCGCATTCGTTGCGCGTTTTTATGAATCGCAGAGACATCTACCGTCGATTGTTTGAATCATTTTAAACTAACTTCCATTTTGAAGTTTTCATCATCATCTCGGGGGTTAACCTTTTTTTTTCTTTTCTATTCTGGGTTTTTTTTTTTTTCCGCCACATTAAAATAAAAAAAAAGGAAAAATTCTTTTGATTTTTGCAAGGTGAAATTATTTTCGACGAGAATAAGAAAAAAAAAAAGGAAAAATTATTTATTATTAGCATGTCGAGAGTGGGTAAAAAAAACTATTATTGACGTTTGTAACGTCTTATTTAACATCATCATTACGTTTTAAATGCAATTTACCAAAAGAAAAAAAAAAGGCAATATCGTTCTTTTATTTACTTTTTTCCCATTCCCAGCAGGCGTGTATTATTATTATTATTATCATAAAATCCGTTTTAAGAAAATACAATGGCAAACCCGAAAAAAAAAACAATCAAAACTGGTAAAAATCAAGTTTTGAATAAAGAGTGCCACCGGTTTTTCACGTCAATCAAATCTTTTGTCCAAGCAAATAAAAAAAAGACATTTTTATTTTTATTTAATTTTAAAAACGCCTTTAACGTCAATTTTTAAAACTTTTGATTGGTCGAAGAAGAAGAAAAAACGTTTTTTTTCCATATATTTTTCTTCTTACACTTAAAAACATCGTAATCTTACGACACGACATTTTTTAATCGCACCTTCGAACAACCTTCGACATTTAATAATTGATAAGCAAATAATTAAATTTCAAATTTTTAATACTTTCTTTTTCAGTTTTTCTCTTCTAGAAAAAAAAGGTAAAAAAATTTAATCGGAAAATTTATTACGTAATTTAATAAGTAATCATAACCTTTTCATAACCTTTCATAAATTAATTGAATATATAATAATAATAATCGAGCACGAATTTAAACAACTTTTTTCTTTTTTTTTTCAGGGATTTAAAACGAAGGCGAATTAACAGAAGTGGCAGAAGAAAAAAAACCGTTTTGACCCGTGCCAAACGTGACGTTTGTTTTTCAATTTCGGAAGTTAAATCGTGTAGGCATTTTAATGACACGTTTTTTTTTATTTACATCATGCCAACATCATGGAACAACAACAACAACAACAATACGTAATAAACAAAAGAATTAATTGATTATTTTCACTTTCGTTATAAAAAAAACGTGAAAGTAGCTATGTTTTCTTCTTTGAATTTAACTTTTATAACGATGATGATAATAATGATGATGATGATAATGATTATGATGATTTATAAAAACAAAAATTTCAAGGTGTTCAAACATGATTTAATAAAAAAAAAAAACCACTTAAATTTCAGTGTGCATTTTGTAAAAACACTAAAGGCAGAACAATTTGCGGGACAGAATAAAAGCAAATAAGACATTTACGAGTATTTTATTGTTGTTCGTGTCAGTAGAGTTGTAACTCAGATCGTAAAATCCGGATCACACTGTATTATAACTTGTATTAGGCCCGTCCTACTCCTCGTTTTGTTTTTTTTTTTTTTTTTTTATTATTATTTTTATTATTTTTACTTTTTCTTCACGCGCGCGTGTGTTGTAAAAAACTATTAAGTAAAATTATGTATGACCTATTAATTAATATACTCGTAATTAATAATGTTGGCACTACTACTGTAATCCCCCCCTCGTACAACTCATCAATCTTATAAAATATTTTTATTATTATTATTATAAATCCGTAACTTTTACACGTTCCGTTTATTATTTCTTTCATGTTTTTTTCCACCCTTAACAAAACTAAAAGTGAAAGTTATTATCATTATTATTATCATTATTTATTAATAAATTTTATTCGTTTAATGAATTTTAATGTTTTTAACGCATAAATATTTTTTTTTCTTATTATTTTTATTTATTTTTTTTTAACCTTTTCAAAAAGATAAAAAATAAAAAATAAAAAAGATTTAAAGTTCAAATCAAAAAATAGCCCCTCAGTTAGATAACGCGAATTAAAAATAATAATAATAATAATAATTTAGTAAACTTAAAAAAACTATCAATTTATTTATTAATTAATTATTAATTATTTATTAATAAAAAAAAATTAATTTAAGATGAGAAAAAAAATTTTTTTAAATGTAAATTTTGTTGTTGTCGTAATGCAAGACTAAGAAGCCATCTTGTTTTTTTTGGGGGGAAAGAAAAATTACTTATTAAAAAATTTTATTTATTTATTTATTTTTTCGCAATTATTTTTATTTATTAATATATGCACGAAACGCATTTAATAAAAATCACTTTATTAAGTTTAAAACCGTCGCCACTATTTGATTTATTGATGATACGTCGTAAATGTTATAAACAAAAAAAAAAAAATAATAATAATCAATAAATCATTTATCGAATTTTACATAATTTATATATTTTTTATTACGTTCCCACTTGAAAATTCAATAAGTGAAAGTTCGAATCGATCGTTTTGTGTCCAGAATTTTCTGGAAGTTTTTTTTCTTTCAACCTTTATCCTACGTAAATAAATTAAAATATCTTCTGCTTTACCATTTAAAAAATTTAATTTTTTTTTTTTTTTTAAAAGAGCGTTCGATTTTAACATAATTTTTTATTTCAACGGATTCCTTAATAATAATGATGATGATAAATAATAATCACGTGATTGTGTTTAAGTAAGTCAATGGGAGGTCATTAAAAAACGGAAAAGAAAAGAAAATAAATCAAAAAGATAATTAGAAAAGAAAGTTATGAGCCTTAGGTTGATGTATATAAAAGATTGCGCACATTGTTAGTTCGATAAAAAACAAAGTGTAACAAGATTTATTTATAAATTATACAATAAATTGTAAAATATAAATATATATATATATATACGTAAAGTAATTTTTAACGTGGTTTTAGCTAAGACATGCATGCACTCTTTTTAAAAACGGTTTACGAATAAAAATAATAATAATAATAATTATAAATACTTTTTTTTTTTTTTGTTACGAATGTTTTGTATAAAATTTTTTTCACCCTTTTATTTTTTTTTCTTC